TCCATCGCAACCTTTGTCAGCTGGAAAGAAAAAGAAAACACCTGAGGATAATCGAGGCCATGGATAACTCTATCCTGATTGCCAGCGGAGATTTATTAGAGAGTAAATCAGTTCAAGGGGACCGGACCGGCATTTGAAAACAGGAATAGAGTAGAATAAAAAAAAATCATGCCGTACAGGGTGGCATTTCCCGAAACTATGGTGATGTGAGATGATTTCTTGCTGTGCATCACGGTCAGAAAGGCCTGGAAGCCAACAGACGGTTCCCAGCTTCACACTGCTTTCCGGACCACCGCCGGGAACGTTCTGAGAGCCTCGCCCAGAGCGAACCCCCGTCTCTCGGCGGCGCTGCGTTGGCGGGACTCCGCCGCCAGGTGGCGCCCGTGTCCCGCCGCGAGCGGGCTCGGCTCGGTCCGACCTCCCAGGCCCGGGTTTCCTTCTGGGTCAGCGTCGCCCAGAGGATCCGTTCGCTGGGACTGGAGGCCCCGCCGCGAAGACAGCTCCCGGAGCAGAGCGCGGTGGGAGGGCTTGGGAGGCCGGCAAGGGATGCGGCCATCCTGAGCCCCACCCCTCCCTTCTTATTCCGCAGTGTTCAGCCGATGCCTCTCTGTGCCCCAGACGGGGTCGCTGCTCCCAGAGCTCGCATCCCAGGGGGGAGGACAGACAAGAAGCCACAGTGGCGACCCCGCCACTGCAGGGACGCCTCCCCGCTAGGGCTTAGAGGCAAGTGTGGTGCCGGACAGCTGGCTGTGTGACCTTGGGCAGCTGGCTTAGCCTCTCTGTGCCTCAGTTTTCTCTGCTATAAAGTGGGAAGATAGCACCCACCGCACAGGGTTGGCGTGAGCATGAAACGCGTTCGTGTCCGCAAAGCACTTAGAAGCCCTAGGATTTTTGTGAAACCAATGGTTACAAATTCTCATGTTGCACCTGTAGGAACCGAGGACGTAGGCAATGGGGAGGCAGGAGGAATCCCCGAAGCCACACCCTTCCTCGCCTCTCCTTGGAGTTGAGTTCAGGGATTGACTCCCAGCCAGGATCCTTTCTCTCCGCACGGTGCTCCCTGGGGGGTAACAGTGGCTCCAGCCCCCTCAGCCTGGTCTGGGGCCGACAGGGAGAGACTGAATGCACCCATTGGTGATCCGAGGACAAATTGGTGGGCGACAGTCGCAGGCGGTGGGGCTTGGGGGGGGGGGGGGGGGGGGGGCCACCCCCGGTTGGGGGCCGCGGCCGCCCGCCCCCCCCCCCCCCCGGGCCAAGCGCGCTTTCATCCACAGGCCGCCCCCGCCCCCAGGCCCTCCCCAAACACCCGGAGCTGAACTTCGCAGAGCTTTTGGGCACCCCGCAGCTGTGGGCACCCAAGAAGGCCTTTGATGTTCCTTTTTCCCTCTCCATTCCCCCTTTCTTGCCGTCTCGGGTAATTTACGGATCGTAAAAGCCACTCATTGTCAGTGAACATGCAGTGACTTTTCACAAAGTTACAGAGTCCTACAATCATCACCACAGCCCAGTCTTGGATCATTGCCTCCGTCCCCGAAGTTTCCCTCTTGCCAGCCTGCGGTCAGCTTCCTGCCCCACCTCCCGCTGGGGCGACCTTGTCTCTCCAGATTTGCTTCTCCTGGAAATCTCATACGAATGGAATCATCCAATTCATCTCCTGTCTGAAATGCTTTTCGGTTGGACACGTGCGTCCGGTGCAACGCAACGCAGCAATATTGACTGCTAAAACCAGAAAATAGATTTGGGAATTTATGCAGGGGCAGTAAACACACACACACAAAATTCAAAATAAATTTGCGATGGGCCTGGATGGTATGTGGGGATCTCTTTATTGACTTCTATTTATGTATGTATGTACGTATTTATTTACAAATTGGTTAAAGACATTTATTTCAAAGAATTTTTTTTTAATGTTTTATTTTTGAGAGACAGCGTGAGTGCAGGTGGGGGAAGGGCAGAGAGAGCAGGAGACAGGATCCAAAGCGGGCTCCGTGCTGACAGCAGAGAGCCTGCTGTGGGGCTTGAACCCTTGAACCATGAGATCATGACCTGAGCTGTAGTCAGACACGAAAGCGACTGAACCACCAAGGCGCCCCGACTGACTTTGAACTGTATCTATCCATCTCTGTAGAATTTGGGTCGCCATATTTTCCAATTTTTAAAAAAATTAAGAAAAATAAAAACATCAGGATAGAGAGCCATGCCTCTATATATGTCTTATCCACAAGAAAGCATGAGATAAAAGCTTGTTTTGTTCTTTCCTTTAGACCAGTGGCCAGCAAATTACAGCCTGTTGCCCAAATCAGGCCCGTGAGCCAAGAATGCTTTTACGTTTTGGGGGGCACCTGGCTGGCGGTAGAGCATGTGACTCTTGATTGTGGGATTCTGAGTTCAAGCCCCGTGTTGGGTGGAGAGATTACTTAAATAAAAACAAAACTTAAATTGGAAACAAAAAATAATCAAAAGACTATTTTGTGATATGGGAAAAGTATGTGAAATTCAAAGTTTTAGTGTCCAGAAATGACACAGCCGCATGCATTTGTTATGTACGGTCTACGGCTGCTTTATGAGACAATGGAAGAGCTGTTTCCTCTTTGGCTCTCCATGGAAAAAATTTGCTGACCCGATAGAGACCCAGAGTCTTCCACAGTCCTTGGCCTCAAGGAGATGCTCAGGAAAATATCTGTGATGAACAGCACAGTCTCAAAGGCCAGAATAACTTTAAGGTTTGAAGGTTTTCTTTCAGTCAGTTAATAAGCTTGATAATTTCATAAGTTACTGTGGTAGACAGAAAATGGCCCCCAAAGATGTGTATGTGCTAATATCCAGAGCCTGTGCGTATGTTATCCTATATAGCAAAAGGGAATTAAGGTCACAGATGGAATTCAGAGTTGCTAATAAGTTGATCTGAGATGGGAGATGATTCTGGGCTATCTGGATGGGCCCAATGTAGTCACAGGTGTCCCTATACATGAAAGAGGAAGGACTCTTAGAATCATGAGTCAGAGGGATGTGATGTGAGAATTCAACCCCTGTTGCCGGTTTAGATGGAGAAGGGGCCACCAACGAAGGAATGTGGGTGGCCTCTAAAAGCTGGAGAAGGCAAGAACATAAACTTTCCCCTAGAGCTTCCAGAAAATATAGCCCTGCGGACACGTTGATTTTCACCCAGCGAGACCCATTCTGGACTTCTGACTGCCAGCAATGTAACATGAGAGATTTGGGTTGTCTAAAGTCCCTATATTTGTGATAATTTGTTGTAACAACAGGAAACTAATACATGTGTGAAAGCCTGAACTTGACCATGAAAACACCCACTGCCTTGAAACTCAAAGGAAGCTGTTTAACATCAGCAAGTTTCCTTAACTTCTGTGCTTCAGTTTCCTCAGTTATAAGAAGGAGATAAGCATTTATTTGTGGAGTGGTGGTGAGTGATAAATGGAGTGATATATGTAAAGTCTTCCACATAGTAAGGGGCTTTCCCTTAATATATGAGTGAACAAAAATAAAGTGTTAGTAGAAAAGATGGTTAAAACATACAGGAAGCAAAAAACTCACCTGTAATAAAGAAAATGCCCAAACTCCTATGCATCTAATAACATTGTCTACAAATACATTAAGCAAGAATTGACAAAGCTGTAAGACTTCCATCAGGGCACCTGGGAGGCTCAGCTGGTTAAGTGTCCGGCTTTGGCTCAGGTCATGATCTCGAGGTCCATGAGTTTGAGCCCTGCATCAGGCTCTGTGCTGACAGCTAGGAGCCTGGAGCCTGCTTCAGATTCTGTGTTTCCCTTTCTCTGTGCCCCTCCCACACTCATGCTCACTGTCTCTCTCTCTCTCCCCAAAATTAAATGAACATTTTAAAAAACTTTAAAAGACTTTGAGAATACACTTCTCTAATGGGGTATTGTATTACAAGCTTACTCAGTAACAGATCAAGAATCAAACATTTTGTTAGTAAGAGAATGTGAAACAGTCAAGAATCTTGACCATTCAGACAGGTACTGAACCCTGATCCCACCCAACACCAAAGAAACTCCGTGTTTTAAAAAAATCTCCCTTAAAATGCTCCTTAATCAAATCAGGGGCTTGCTTCATCTACTTAGTCTAGCCACACAGTCTGTTGCAGCCACAGACACCCAAAAACATGTCCAGGGGAGTGAGGACTCTTGTGTTTTGAAGGTTGTGTTATTGGGACCATGACCTTCATTTCAATGATCCTAAAGTTGCTTGTGCTAATTCAGGGAATTTCACCCAGTCTCCAGAGAGCAGCTAGGAAAGAGAGCAACGGGAACTTAGTTAAGACAAAATGAGTGACACTCTCGTCTTTCGTACAGCTTTCTAGGAATCCAAGCCAGTGAATTCTGTCAGGGTTGCAAGATCTACCCACTATCTGTTATGAGAAAATGTAGAAAATGCATTTACAAACCTTCAACGGGGCTAACTCTGCAAAAACAAGTCTATGGACCCTTATACTTACTAAAGAGGATGAGAAGAATGCACGTGGCCAGGCAGTTGACAGAAGTCAGCCCCATGGGACTGAAATGAACATCAGAACACGTGTCCCACAGCAGCATCATAAAGACCACATACTCGGACCATAACGCAGTCAAATCATGACCAATAACAACCAACTGACCAAAAAAAAAAAAAAAAAAAATGTTATCCCAGAGCACACCAAACCCCAACTTGAATTAAAGGAGGCTCAGGGGCGCCTGGGTGGTTCAGTTGGTTAAGTGTCCGGCTTTGGCTCAGGTCATGGTCTTGAGGTCCATGAGTTTGAGCCCCGCGTCAGGCTCTGTGCTGACAGCTCGGAGCCTGGAGCCTGCTTGGGATTCTCTGTCTCCCTCTCTCTCTCTCTTAGAAATAAGTATTAAAAAAAAAATCAAAAGATAAATGAGGCTCAAACAGGGCCTCGTGTTGGTGAGAACACCCATGGGTAAATACTAACAAAGCTACTACATATTGAAAATTCAGAGCTGAAAAGGCACGCAGAGAGCATATTCATCATCTCGGAGGATTTTATTAGAGAACCAAAAGTGGAAAGCAATGAATTTTGGTCCCAGATGAAGGATGAGGCAAGGCAGTGGCAGCAATCCTAGCATTTACTGTGTTTCTCTCCTACTATGTACTCATCTGTGCCTTGGGAGCGGGGAGACTTTCCTGGATCTATTGCAATCTTAGAATCATCTCCAGGATGTAGTCTCTTGGGTAACTTAAGGGACGAATGCTTAAAGAGGCGTTTCTCATGTTCCTTACTCCCACGACGAGTCTCCAAAGTGTGAATTCGTGCAAGGATTACATTGAGACAACCTTGAAGGTTTTTCCAGATTCCTTAGATTCATAGGGCGTGTCTCCAGTGCAAGGGGAAACGTCTAGCAAAGATGAAAAAAGATGACAAACTTTCCAGAGACCTTACCTACATAGGGTGTGAATATGTCAGGGTGTTGGGTTCTCACATTTCTGTCGTTCAGGGAAGACTCGAGCTCCCTCCCAAAACGTCCTCATGGGCTCATTATTTCGAGAAAACTAATGAAACTTCTCCCACATTCCTTTCATTCGCAGGACCCCTCTCAACTGTGAGTTTCGTTTTGTATTTTTTTTTCAAGTGTATTTATTTAGGCAATCTCCACAGCCCACGTGGAGCTTGAAAGCGTGACTTTGAGATCGCGCTCTTCTGAATGGGCTAGCCAAGTGCCCGTCAACTGTGAGTTTTTAGGTGGTTTTTAAATCTGTGAGAACTGATGAAGGCTTTCCCACATCCCTCGCATTTATAGGGTTTTTCTACGATATGAACCCTTCTATGTTCGGTAAGCTTTGAGAACTCATTGAAGGTCTCCCCACATCGCCTGCATTTATAGGGCTTCTTGATAATGTGCTTTTGTAAGTGTTTGTTAAGGTGTAAGGAATATTTAAAGGCTTTCCCACATGTCTGGCATTCGTAGGGCTTCTCTCCGGTGTGAATTTCCATGTGTCTCACGAGGGACGACTGATACAGGTAAGATTTCCTACATTCTTGACATTTGTATTTCCCCCCTCCGGGCTTAGTCTCCTTGCGTGAGTCAGAATTTGCAGGGCGGGCAAAGGATTTCTCATCTTGCTTATTCTCATGATTTGCCTCTGCCATACAGGATTGCCTCTGTGCCTCATGGATCGAGCTATCTCGGAAGGTGATTCCACGCGGATCGGACGCGTAGGTTTTCTCTGTAACGTGAGACCTGCATACGTTGAGGCAGACGTCTTCACCAAAGGCTTTTCCAAATGGATCCCATTCATGAACATCCGTCCCCATGCGAATGTTATTATGGCTGTGAAGCACATTGTTGTAATCGTGAGGCCACACGTTTGACTCCGGCCCCGTCCGACTCCTCACAAACGGGATCAAGACAATGCTTTGCCATAAGAGTTTGTCATATCCGTAGTTTTTATAGATCTTTTGATTACTGGTTAGGACAGGATTTTGTTTCAGGATATCTGAGCCCCAGTTTGGGATACGGTTTCTTGCGGCATCTCTCCGGGAAGGCACAAGCTTGGAGCCTGGTTTAGGATCGTCCTTCGTTTCGCGATATTCACAGATTCTGACCGGAGACTCGCCCTTCCTGTGAACGCCCGCAGCTTGCTGCCACTTTCGGTCCCTTTGCTTGGGCGGCTCCCCCGTCTCGTGGCATTTCCAGTCTTTTCCCCGCGGGGAGGGCCGGGTACTGCGGCTCACGGCACACACTCTGTTCGCTCCCCGAGGGGTCTTCTCGGCGAGAATGTCCTGCCGGGGGGTTGAGTTTTGGGTCTTACGTTGATTCAGCGAGTCTGAAATAAAGTGCACAAAAGTCAAGTTCTTTGTTGAGAGCTAAGGTGGGTTGGGGAGGATAAGACAGGGAAGTGCCCAGGTGGGTTTCTTGTCGAACGGTCACTCTGCACGAGAGGGAAGGAAGAGTGAGTAAGAGAGCGGAAAGACATCAGGGATTTGGGCCGTGCCGGGAGCTCGACTGCAGTGAGGACGGGACCTGCTACGAAACACTTGTTCAGGGATCGAGGAAAGGAGTCGTCAGGAAGGTGTAGCCTCATAGAGAACCGGACAAAGAGTCTGCCACGGACTGTTTTTGTGTCGCCCAGAAATCCATTACGTTGAAGCCCTCATCCCCCATGTGATGAGGGGATTTGCAGGTGGGGCCTCTGGGAGGTAATCAGGCCTAGATGAGAATGTGACGGTGGGGCCCCCACGATGGGACTGGTGTCCTTACAAAAGCAGAACGGAGCTCGCTGTCTCTCTAGCACGTGAGGACACAGCAGGAAGGCGGCCGTCTGCAAACCAGGAAGAGAGGCCTGGCTGGGAACCAAACCCACTGGCACCTTGACCTTGGACTTCCCAGTGAAGAGACAAATGTGTGAAAGCCACCTGGAACATGGTATGGTGTCCGCCCGGACGGACTAAGTCAGAGTCCGTGTGTGGCTTTAAAGGGGCACAGGTCTTTGGGACAAAAAGAAAGAGGGGCGCCTGGGTGGCGCAGTCAGTTAAGTGTCCGACTTCAGCCAGGTCACGATCTCGCGGTCCGTGAGTTCGAGCCCCACGTCAGGCTCTGGGCTGACGGCTCAGAGCCTGGAGCCTGTTTCTGATTCCGTGTCTCCCTCTCTCTCTGCCCCTCCCCCGCTCGCACTGGGTCTCTCTCCCCAATAAGCAAAAGAAAAATAAATTCCACCTTGTAAAATCCTTCCTTGTGAGGATTCCTATCCGCCTGGCGAGCAGGCCCAGGTGCAGGGGTAAACTTACCCCCCTGCACCATTCCCCGACCTGCTCCTTGCTTGCCCAAATGGGAGACCAGACTAGGGGGTGCCTCCTTGAGATCCTGGTCACGGGGTGGGGGGTGGGGGGGAGACAGCGGTGCCAGAAACAGAAACTCCCTGAAGCAGGGGTTCTGAAGCCAAGCAAGTATGACTCTGCCGCACCTAAGCGGTCCCTCCGCTTCCCTCACGCATGCGCTAACACCCTCTGCGCTCCGTGTTCACCCACCTAAGGATCCCCCGAGGGCAGTTAATCGTGAAGCGAATACAAATGAACCGCAACGGGCAGAGTTGCCCTCTCGTTGGGGTCAAACCCTGCGTCCACCCCTAGGGGGGCAGGGGCCGCAGCGCCCTGCTTAACGGTCCTGGCCCCGTTTCTCAGCACCCCTCCGGGAACTCAGGAAGGGCCAGACTCGCGTTGGGCCCGGCCACGGGTAAGCCGAGGGAGGGTAGCATCCTCACCCACGGAGGCCAGGTTCCTACAGTTCTCCAGCATCACGTCTCTGTAGAGATTTCTCTGCGCGGGGTCCAGCAGGGCCCATTCCTCCTTGGTGAAGTTCACGGCCACGTCTGTGAAGGTCACGGCGTCCTAAAACAACACGCCCGTTTGGGGCGCTGTTACCGGCGGAGTCGCGACCCTTCCCAAGGACAGGCCGGAGTCCTGACCCCCCCCCCCCGCCCCCCAGTACCTATGAATGTGACCCCGATTTGGAAATGAGGCATTTGCGGATTCGCAAGGGGTACCAGGAGGTCACGCTGGAGCAGGTGGGCCCTATTCCAATCGACCGAGGTCTCACAAGAAGAGGAAATCTGGGCACAGACACACGGAGGGGAAGAATGTCACACGAGATTCTTCAGAAGTGGAGACTGGGGTGGGTTGTCTGCAACGAAGGCGGGCCAAGGAAAGGCGTTTGCCAGTCGTATATTAAGCTAGCCCACCTCCCGGGGCGCCTGGGTGGCTCAGTCAGCTAAGCATCCGACTTCATTTTGGCTCAGTTCATGATCTCAGGGTTCGTGAGTTCGAGCCCCACATCAGGCTCTGTGCTGACAGTCCGGCTTTGGCTGCTGTGTGTCCCTCTCTCTCTCTCAAAAATAAACAAACACTTAAAAAAAAAAAGAATGAGTGAGATCTCTTATCCATGGATGTAAAGTGATATCATGTGGTCTGTATATATATACAGACACACACACAATTTAAAATTTTTTTTTTCAACGTTTATTTATTTTTGGGACAGAGGGAGACAGAGCATGAACGGGGGAGGGGCAGAGAGAGAGGGAGACACAGAATCGGAAACAGGCCCCAGGCTCCGAGCCGTCAGCCCAGAGCCTGACGCGGGGCTTGAACTCACGGACCGCGAGATTGTGACCTGGCTGAAGTCGGACGCTTAACCGACTGCGCCACCCAGGCGCCCCAAGACACACACACAATTTAAGGGAAAGAGAGAGAGAGCGTGAGAGGGGGAAGGAGGGGCAGAGGGAGAGAGAGAATCCCAGGCAGGCGCCACACTCAGCTCAGAGCCCGATGTGGGGCTCGATCCCATGACCCTGGGATCACGACTTGAGCTGAAGCCGAGAGTTGGACACAGCCGACTGAGCCACCCAGGTGCCTCCAAACCCTGTTTTTTTTTTTTTTTTTTAACGCTTATTTATTTTTGAGACAGAGAGAGACAGAGCATGAACGGGGGAGGGTCAGAGAGAGGGAGACACAGAATCCGAAACAGGCTCCAGGCTCTGAGCTGTCAGCACAGAGCCCGACGCGGGGCTCGAACCCACAAACTGTGAGATCATGGCCTGAGCCGAAATCAGACGCTTACCGACTGAGCCACTCAGGCGCCCTCTTACAGATATTTTATATGCACTGCAGGATCAGTCAAAGGGACTGTGTTCATAAGGAAGCAAGGTTTTTAGCCCAAGAAGAAAGATTTCAAATCTAAAATTTTAAGAAGTCAGGGGGCGCGCCTGGGTGGCTCAGTCGGTTGTGTGTCTGACTTCGGCTCAGGTCATGATCTCGCGGTTCACGAGTTCAAGTCCCGCGTCGGGCTCTGTGCTGACAGCTCGGAGCCCCGAAGCCTGCTTCGGATTCTGTGTCTCCCTCTCTCTCTCTCAAAAATAAATAAAAACATTAAAAAGTCAGGGCGCCTGGTTTGCTCAAAGTCAGAAGAGCGTGTGACTCTTGATCTGGAGGTTGTGAGTTCGAGTCCTACGTTTGGTGAAAAGATTACTTAAAATAAATAAACTTAAAAACATTTTTTTTAGAGTTCAAAAGTGGCCGACTTTAGGATAAAGTATCAGCAGGAACCACACACACACACACACACACACACACACACACACACACTTCCCTGGCAAATCTCTGGAGAGAAAGCGCCCAGAAGAAATAAGCAGGAAGCCCTGAGAAATGGGCTGATTTAGGAAGAGAAAATCCACAGGGTGAGCTTGAGGGACCCTGTGCTGTCAGAAGGCGGAGAAGCCACCCTAGACTGTGTTAAGAAATACAGAGGCTGAAAAGAAAGAAAGAAAGAAAGAAAGAAAGAAAGAAAGAAAGAGAAAAAGAAAAAAAAAGAAAAAAGAAATACAGACGTTGACTGTTAAGGGTCTGCCAATGGCCCAGTTTGGGAGATTCTGAACGTAACTGTGCAACTGATTGAAACGGACTCATTACTAACATGCGAACTCATCATGACACCCAAAAAGGGGAAACCAAAGGGGCCATAAAACAGCACTTCTCGGGGCACTTGTGTGGCTCAGTCGGGGAAGGCATTAGACTCTCGATTGCGGCTCAGCTCATGATCTCTTGGTTCGTGAGTTTGAGCCCCGCGTCGGGCTCTGGGCTGACAGAGCCTGCTTGGGGTTCTGTCTCCTCTCTCGCTCCCTCTGCTCCCCTCCCCCGCTTGTGATCTCTCTTAAAAAAAATTAAATAAATAAGAATAAAATAAAACAAAAACCCTCAGGGGGCGCCTTGGGGGGGGGGGCGGGCACAGCCAGTTAAGGACCCAACTCTTGATTTTGGCTTCAACTGCACCAGGGAGCGGTCACGTGGCTGGGACCTTCCCATGCACCAACTTCCCACGGTCAACGAAAGGGAGGGGAGTGAGTGCCCGTCACACCATGAGCCTGTACGAGGAACGAGTGGCACCTATGCCTGGTGTTTGCGCCCTGCCTAAAAGGAATCCCACTCCTGGGGCTTCTGGCTGGCTCAGTCAGTAGAGCATGCGACTCCGGATCTTGAGGTCACGGGTTCGAGCCCCATGTTGGGCATGGAGCCTACTAACAACAAAACAAAACAAAACAAAACAAAACAAAACAAAACAAAACAAAACCAAAACACCTGTTGTGTGGATGCAAACTGCTACACTCATAGTGTGAAAAACATTTCTTTCACACAGAAAACCCGATAGCCCTGGCGCACCCAGGTGGCTCAGTTGGTGAAGCGTCCAACTTTGGCTCAGGTCACAATCATGGTTCCTGGGGTCGAGCCCCGCTTCCGGCTCTGTGCTGTCACGGTGGGCGGAGCCTGCTTCGGATCCTCCGTGCCCCTCCCTTCCCCACCCAACTCTCAAAAGTAAATATTAAACATTTTTAATTAAAAAAAAAAAA